GTTTAGGCAAGGGAATCTTTGAGTATTTAATAAATTTATTATGAATAGGCCACAAAGCTCATAATGAAACTCATATTTCCTTTCCCCTGGATCAAGGAAGCTAATCCTAATCCAAATCCTACTTAAAAAGAAATACCAGTATAAAACAAAAACAACCTGCAATAATAAAAGATATTACTATTATGGAAGCTCTGAAAGTGTCCACATTACTGATAACCTTCATATAATATCTAAGCAAAGTCACTTCTCTGTTGGGGACAGTATTCTTCTTGGCTGTAACAGCAAAACATGCTCTCTGCCATTGGTTGGGGAACACTTTCCCAACTGTCTCTTTTTGACTATCTCAGGACCATTTTTTTTGCTAACAATTCCAACATGGACTAAATGCAGATGCAACTGATACAGGTAGTCCTCGACTTGCGACAATTGAGCCCAAAATTTCTGTTGTTAAGTGAGACATTTGTTAAGTGAGTTTTGCCCCATTTTATGAGTTTTCTTGACACAGTTGTTAAGTTGCTAAGTTAGTAACACAGTTAAGTTGCTAAGTTAGTAACACAGCTAAGTGAAACTGGCTTCCCCATTGATTTTGCTTGTGAAAAGGTTGCAAAAGAGGATCACATGACCTAGGACACAGCAACAGTCCTAAGTATGAGTCAGTTACCGAGCACTTGAATTTTGGTCACATGATCGTGGGGAATGCTACAAAGGTCATAAGTGTGAAAAACAGTCATAAGTCATTTTTCAGTGCCGTTATAATTTTGAATGGTCACTAAATGAACTGTTGTAAGTCAAGGACTACCTGTATTGAAGATTCCAGGAAGTGCATATTATACTAGGCACCCACGGGATGGAATTTAACATTGGAGCACAGTACATAAAATGAAAGGGCCAAACTTTTTTAAAACATTTTTTCCTCCAACATAAGACAAAGTGGTAATACAAAAATTCTAAACCACCAACCTATGGATTTACCAAATATAGAAATCTGAAAAATATATAATCCCCACAGGTCCACTCTCATATGTGCCATGGTTTCAAGTATACAAATTTTCAGGGTTTCATGTTTTTAAGCCTCCTATCAAATGTACAAGTGGGAATACCAAAGCTGCTTTTACCCAGATGATTGAGAATCTCCGTAGACCAGGGGTCAAACTGTGGGCCAGATGTGTCATGCTGAAACCACGCCCATCCCATTGCCGGCAATGGGAAAAAAGTTGCAATACGTCGCAACACATCACGTGACATTGCGAGTTTGACACCCCTGTCGTAGCCGTATAAGTGGGAAGTATATCTTGAGAGTATCTGTTTGGTATAGCGGTTAAGGCACTGGACTAGAAACTGGGAGGCCCCATGTTTTAGTCCTGCCATAAGCAGAGCCAGCTGAGTGACCTTGGGCCAGATATTCTCAGCCCAGATCAGCTAATCACGTCTGAAAAATCTTGCCAAGTGAATTGCATGGACCTGTGTAGACAATCACAAAGATTCAATACTGACTTGAAACAAATAAAATCTCACACACACACACAGATAGAGAGAGAGGGGTGGTGGTAGGTATCTTGGAGTACACTAGTTTTCCAGTATATTATACACTTTCTAGGATATATGCTTTATATTTGCTTTTTAAAAATCAGACACTACTATCAACTATGGCATTTGTAACACTCAGGTATCTGTAACTCAGTTGTATCTATTATGACTCCAAACTGCCACTTTTATATGCATACATATAACGTCTGCATTTAAAAACATGACTGCTATTATATAAAAACATTTTTATTACAAATGTGCACATAAAATGTGCCTTTTATGTGCATGTTTAACTATTTTCTGTAGGATGTTCAATCTGGTGCCTGTTATAAACAAAGTAATACTGTTATATTCATTACACAAAATACACATCTCTAAATTTGTAGGAAGGTGGAATTTGAGGTCATATGCTATTTGTCCTACAGAGCAATTATAGTAAAAAAAACCCACCCCTATACACTGCTGTTGTGTTAGAAAATTATCTACCCACTTTTACTGAAAAAAAGCTCTTCATTGGGTAAAAACACTTATTTAAAAGTGGCAATTTAATGTTTGCCCCTATAGATTAATTAATGCACAGTTTTTCAATTGGTTACTAAACAATTTTATCTGAATTCAGCTTCTTTGCACTTTGCTTTAGAGTCTATTTTGCTTTATCTTTATTGAAACAATGATGGGAATTCCTAATGTGCTTAAAGCCAATTAAAATCAGTTCTCTTTAGCACTATAAATATTGTGAACATGGATAGAAAAAGGAATATAGACTGCTTATCATGATTCAACCCTCATCTAAATATGATCGCCAAACATTGTGGAATTTAGTATCAACAATATAACATACTAAACATCGCTTGAAAGCCATTAAGGTTCTAAGTATCAACCAAAACAGATGGAATATTCAGCAATGGTTCATTGTGATATCTTTTTTATAACAACACCCTGACTCCGAAGTTTGATAGCAAACTAAGCACTCTTTCGGTGATAATAGTGACAGGTGTTTGATGCCTATAGATTTTAAATATTCATTTAACCCTTCCACATTGCATCTGCTCCCATCAACAAAATGTGTATACACTGATTCTGCTGAATAATGAACTAATGCTTTGAAGATTAAATCAAGCAAAAATAATTATTAATAAAGTTCTGTTCTAGTACATGTGCAACATACTTTTTGTTTGCTTTGTTTTTTATATTATTAAATTAGCAATAAAAATGAATACAACAAATCAAGCTGATTCAGTTTTCTTAACTAGGATGTGAAGAAATCTCCAAATTTCTAGATATGTAGAAATGTAATAAAAACACAAAATAAAATACATGGACATATCAAGAAATATATGAAGAATGGTATTTTCTCAGTTAAAAACTGATTTCATTAGTCATTTAAAGATGGACTCATATACTCAGAACACCAAATGGAAGTTTCTTGAAAAGTCAGGAGTTTCTACTTGCATTAAGTTCCCTTTGACTTTTATACTGCTTACCTAAGTTTCACAGTGACTTCTGATACTACACAAACAGTGGCAGCTGGGCAAATTCTAAAATTTCTGGAAAATGCATCTTATTTGAAACATACCACTTTCTAACTAAAGATCAGAAGCTAATGCAACTCTTAATAACTTGCTATAAACTATTATGTTTAATTTAAACTGTAACTACATTCCAAATAGATATGTAAATCATCATCTATTTAAGTCAAGACTGCTTTTTCAAGTCTGAAATAAAAGTGAGTAGATAAAATTGAGACTTTTCAATGGTTTTGTTCTAACTACAAAGCTACAAAAATATTAAGTGGTACATGGATTTTGGTATGTCTTTGTTATTGTACAAGTTTTAATCACTGAAATGAAAAAACAGTGCCATCTCCTGGCTGAACTATTAACTTACTTTTTTTTTTGTAAGTTTGATATGGTGATCAGTTCAATAACAAACACAGTTATGTTATTAACAGTTGGACTGTTGTTTTGACCAATCAGAGTTTCTAATATACAAACACATCTCAAATTATTAACAGTTTCAAGCTTAAATTCCATACTCTTCCCTAAGTGAATTAAATTCTCATTATTCCACACTTCCATACTAAGGTCAATAATATGCAACATTAAATAATGGATATCCTTTGGTCCTTTGAAAAATAAAAGCCAGGAAGTAATATTTCACTTTTTTAAAAATACAGATTCCAATTATATATATTATTAGTGGATGGTTTTAAATCAGCTTCTTTTACTTTCAGCAGTGTTGTATTCACATCTAAGTTTTCTTATTTAGAAAAAGACATTTAAACTAATTTAGTAATTGTGGAATACCACTATTTATACATTCAAAAGAAACCAAGCAACTGTGGGATTGTGCTGTTTTTTTTTATTGTTTTCCATGGAGAAATACATCATCTGTTTACAAAATAGCTCTTGAAAAATACAAGGAGTACAGATACTATAAAACAAAGCAACTCCAGTCATGAGACACCTACGTACATCATGCGAAAGCAACAGTCTGATCTCCAGGTTATGAAAACTAGAATTAAAAAGTCACTATACAGGAAAGATTCCAAGTTTCCAGCTTGGCAAAACTTGGTGCAGATACATGAAACGTTTAATAAAATGAAGGGGGAAAAAGATGTCCTGATGTGTAAACAAGACTAAATTTGTGCCTGGCAAGTTCGATCTAAACTCCATAGCTACACAAAATGCACAGATAGCTTGTACACTTCAACTGATACCCTTCTTGTTTGGGCAGCAGGAGAAAGAGAAGGAGCAAGGAGGGTGTGGGGAAATTTAAGAGGGTGGAAGCTGGATCACTGGAGGCAGAAGAGGGGCAGGGATAAGAATTTTTTTATACTAGACATCATAGACAAAATGGCAGAAAATAAAGATCTTGGTTACTGCGTGGCTGAGGAGATAGGTAGGGAGTAAGCTACATTCTCTTGACTTTGGAAAATTAACTTATAGGGAAAAGGGAAAGAGCAATTAATTTTTCTTTAAGATGGAAATGCACATGTAGAAGGATTGAGCACAATGCAGGGAAGGAAGTTATTAAACATGCTGATCAGAAAAAATGGGAAGGGCAGTTTAACCATCCCACTTAATTTTGCTGAAATCAAGGTTACGTGTAGTTTGTTATCTCCATCTGATAATCACTGGCATTCCACACTTTCTGTTTAGTCATGAGAGATTTCCATTTTTAAACAAACTTTCTGCTAATAATTTTATAGCTCTACAGAACAAAGCAAAAACAACTGGTTAAGGAGAGCTTTATCAGATCATTTAAGTGCCTGCTAGAAATGTGATTCTAAAAAAATTAAACATTCAGAATGTAAAGCTGCTTTCAGATGAGCTACCTAAAAATAAAACTGTTAAAACCCTAGAGTAGGTAAGATCTGCCTTAAAATATGAAATCTTTGTAATGCAGACAGGACTCCTCTGGAGTATACAAAACTTTTATACTTAATGATGAAAAAGCAGTCAAAACAGGACTATGCTTCACAGGCACACTTTATTTACTGTATTTCATTTCTGGGGGAAAGTAGCATCTGTAGCTAAGGGCTACAGAGCTTAAAAGAAAAACTACCAGTATTTCACTGACAACAATAGTCCAATTTTGGGCATACAAACAGAACATGAGTTAAATGCAAACATTTCTTTTTCCTCTCCAAAAAATATGGTAATAGGAATGGGAAGGTAATAAGGAGAAGGCTTGATTAAACTGAAAGAATCAATTATTTGCTTTTTGACAGCTGATTTGTATGCACCATAAAATAACTCCCAAAATAAAAAATAGTCAATTTCTTAATCATGCCCCATCGAATATTTTAAATGTATTTTCCCAAACTTAGAACTTCCAAGATTTGTCATTTTCTTATAAGGGCTTGCTGCATCCTAATGGTGACTGAGCTAGATACAATGCATACTTTTACCTTCAGTATACAATATATCAAGCCATTTTCTAATTTGAAGGTCACAGATTTTGAAGAATTTTTTTTTTTAATAAAAATAAAATCTATCAAGCTGAAGCACTAAAATTAGTCATATTCCAATAAAAAAAGTACATAAAAGTGCATTTAAGGAATTCTTTTGCCAGTTTTAGCTGAATTTCTTTTCTTCCAAACAATGCATCAACACAAACCCAATCAGTACATCAAATATGGCTAGAAATAGTATTCCCATTCCTTTTTATAGGCAGTAATCCTTTAAAGAATTTAATGTAACTGTTGCTAACACATTAATAGTACTCCTGGCTCCACAAATACGAACCTGGACTTCCAGATCAAGTGATTATAGCCCAGCAAGAGAAGTGCACAAAATATACCTAAATCCATCTGTGTTCACATTCTCGTCTTGCACCTTCTGTTCTCCTTTCCAGTATTAGAAGACAACAGGTTAAATTGGCAGATACTGTTTATGGACCCCTGAGGTTGGTTTTACCGATTCAATCTTAGTTTTATTGAATTTTTGATAACTGGAATAGGATTTGCAGGGAGAGCAGGGATATCTGAAAGATCGGTACTGGGCGTTTTCTGGGTAGAGAAAAAAAGGAAGAAATATTAGATAAAATTTTGATTATACGTTATTAAAAAGTTAAACATGAAACTTTCCATTTGTTGTAATTGTTTCAAATCTTAGTTTCCCCCCAACTTTAGTTAGTGCCAATTTATTTCAGAATGATGCTAATAAACTTAACATGGATTTCTGAAAACTTACACAGAGCAACAAACTCATGTTCCTCTGCTTCTTCACTAACTGTTGTCCGGGTTATTCAATAACTCCCATTCTAATCTGCTATTTTCAAGAAATGTAATTAATCTTCAATTATGTCAAAAAGCTGTAGAATCTACTACACAGAATTCATTATGAGGGGAGAGAAGGCAAAGAAATCTATATCAATCCACATGTCAGAATGCAGATCAGAGCTTTATACCTCAGGGGGCGGCAGTGTCTTGCCTACCTTGTCAACTAAGCAGGGTTGACCTTAATTCAAGTTGGTTGGCTAGACTACAAAGTAGTATCTAAGAGAGAACACAACCGCTTCTATTGCGCTCCCAAGAAAATGCAAAGATGTAGTTGTCAGGAGTCAATTTGAAGTTGAAGGCTTTTATTTCTACAAAATGCAGAAATAGATTCATTCTAGTACCTGAGGAGCTTGTAGAGATACTGTGGTCTGAAGAGTTTCCTGCTGAGAGGCCATATCTGATTCTGTATCAAAAAGTTCCTGAAAAGAAGAGAAGTATGCCAACATTTCTTAGTAGATCACTGTAATTCAATTATGAGTTATTTGGAATCTTAACATTTTAATATTAACAAAGTTTATTAAATTTATTTGAAAGAAAAGAATCTGGAGTAGTTCAAACACAATTACAGATAGTCCTCAACTTACGACATTTTTTGTTGTTAAGTGAGTTCTGCCCCATTTTATGACTTGTCTTGCAACAGTTGTTAAGTGAATCACTGCAGTTGATAAGTTAGTAAACCGATTGTTAAATGAATCTGGTTTCCCAATTGACTTTGCTTGTCAGAAGGTCTCAAAAGGTGATCACATGATCCTGGGGATGCTGCAAAGGTCGTAACTATGAAAAACGGTCATAAGCCACATTTTTCAGTGCCGTTGTAGCTTTGAACGGTCACTAAATGAACTGTTTTAAGTCGAGGACTACCTGTATTTCATTGCACATCCTAACATCTATCTTCAGAGCCCTGAAAAAATGATTTCATAGGGTTGAATACAATTTGCCCCAGTTGTGTCACTCCTTGAGGTTGATTCTGTTGAAGTCACTGAGAATGAGGGGGTATTTCACCAATCCCACTTTCCCTTGGAGGATCTGTAGCTGTCCCAAGCATATTTCAAAGGACACTCTGGTTGCAAAGTAAGGGGTGAAGTAATTGAGGTTAAGGTGGTTACCAAGCTTCTGTTATTTTCTGGTATATTGAACTTGTCTTTTTTGGTTGCTCTGATGGACTAAAACTGTTCTACTGGCCACCCATAAGTTGAAAAAGTCCTTTGCAGAAAGTAAAAACTGGATCCACATTGTTGAGTTCCCTTTTGTAGGTTCCTTTTTCAGTGCTTCTGCCAAGTGACAGCCAACAGCTGCCTACCAGGACTTGTCTAAAGACTATGCTGTAGTCTTTTCAGCTGCAACTAAAGAGCCTTTTATTGTCCTGGATCTTTTAAGACTAAAATGTATTTTAATTTTAAACCATTATAATTGTTTTGAGTTGCTGTTAATGTCATTTTAGAATATAAGACTGTTTTTATATTCTGCTACTAAGAAATTGTCATGATGCATGATCTATAACTGAATGTAAAACCGTGTTCCAATGATAAAACACTCCAGGAAACACCAGAAAATTCCCTGAGTCAAAGAACCTGGCACATCCCTGATTATCACTACTTCTCATTATTATTATTTTATTATTATTTTTAGATCATTAAGCTATCAACAAATATTAATCATTTAGAGCGTACAGAAATTAAAAGCAAATGGTAGGGAAACCGTAGATTTCCTAATGCTGTTGAAGTCCATTTCCAAGCAACACTAACTCCTATGGTCATGGAGGATTCGTGGTATGGATCCAGGCTACTTGAGGCACTGCCTTGCCCCACTGGGATTGGCCCGTACCACTTGTGCCAGCAGAGGAGGAAAGAAGCAGCCTGAATATTCCAGCTGGTGGGGTCCAGGAGGGCCTTCTTTGCTGTTGCTCTTTCCCTCTGGAACATCTTGACCCCGATATGAGGTTGGTCCCAACCCTTTCTGTAAAACATGGCTGTGCCAGTTGGCTTGGGGCACCAGCAGGGGATCAGCACAATGGATGTGGTTGATTGATAACAGATCCCACCTATCCCTCCCCCACTGTACCCCCGCCCTCCCCATGTGCCTTTGGTTTTAAGATTTGATTTTAATATTTTTGTTTTAACTAAGATGTAATTGTAAGCCACCCAAAATTACCCTATGATAAGATGGGCAGCCAATAAAATTTATAAATAAATAAATTAATCAATTTGATTCAAACTTTGGAGGCTGATTTCCCTATCTTTGTCAAATCTCTCTTACTAAGAGGTATCATATCTCTTAATACATTTTGAAGGGTAGGAAGCAAGTGGAGGAAATAGTTTTATGATCTCATTGTTGATTCCCAAAAGTATGTATGTGATTGGACTTGGTGAAGGTGAATTTTCAAACAAGATGGACAATTAATTTGGTCTATTGGGATATAGATGTGTGTGTGTGTGTGTATAGATAGATAGATAGATAGATAGATAGATAGATAGATAGATAGATAGATAAGATATATATGTGTGTGTGTTTTTGTAGATTTTCACGAGTACAGGTATGCAGGTCTTGGTGTATTTGGGTCTTTTCCCGTGTAAGATTGAGAGAATCTTGGCGACGTTTCGACGAGGTCCCACTCGTCATCTTCAGGCTGGGGTCTTCGGCTTCGTGCTCGCACAAGCACGAAGCTGAAGACCCCAGCCTGAAGATGACGAGTGGGACCTCGTCGAAACGTCGCCAAGATACTCTCAATCTTACATGGGAAAAGACCTGAATATGCCAAGAGTAAATCTTAGGGGGTGGGGAGATTCTTTTTTATAAACCTTGCTGGCCTAACTGCTTACTCATTGCCCGTGTGATAGGGCCATCCCTCCTAGCTAACCATAATTGCCTTGATTGTCCCGCCTCCTCTTTTTTGCACTCCAATTCCACACCTTTCCCCCCTCCCATCCTTGTCAATCTCCTCCCTCCCAGTACCATTGCTGCCGGTGTGCTCTCTAACCGCTCCCTCCTGCTCATTCCAGGCTGCGCATTCAGATCCAGTGTTCCAAAAGGCTTGCCATCAACGCTCCCTTCCTTTCTATCCCGTTGATCTACACGCTGTTCCTGCCTTCCGTCATCCATCCCTGTCAGTCTTTTTTTCTCCAATTTCCTTCTACACCCGGGTGTGCGTGCGCACCCTTGTGCCTCATCCCTCTGCTCCGTCTGCCCACGACCGGTGGGGATGCCTGTCGGCTTGCTCTTGGGCTCTTTATTGCTTAGCAATAAACAACTGGTTTATACCTCTCCCGGAAAGCGAGGATTGTGTTATTGAACAGATATGCCCGGGATTCGCATCTTTGCAGTTATCAAGGATATATATATAAACAGCTGGAGTAAAAAATGAAACCTGTTTTAAAAACTGTAGGTGTTCAATACACTATAGCTGCTACACAGTATAAGAAAAGTACCTTAGTTTCCATCTTATCATGATCACTCATATCAATGCAACTAACATCTTCATTTATTTCATCCTGTAATAAAGCAGAATAACCACAAGGAAATAGGATACCTGCCCAAGATACAAAAATAAAGTGTCTATCCAGAATTTAATCGCAATTATGTTATATGTATAGATCTGTTAAGAGCATAAGGATCCATAAAACTTGAGCGTAACAAATATGAACAAAAGGAAACTAACATAATCAGTGTTCATAAATGCATCATTGTGAAATTGTATCAGCATTCAATTGCAGCTATCATGGTTTTGCCTGCTCAAATAATTGCATAAATAGCCAATCATCTGTATAACATTTATTTCAAGTATAGCTATATTGAGTTCTGACTCATTCCTCTACAACACACTGGTCTATTTTATAGCAATAGCACTTAGACTTATATACCACTCCATAGTGCTTTACAGCCTTCTCTGAGCAGTTTACAGTATCAGCATATGGCCTCCAACAATCTGGGTCCGCATTTTACCGACCTCAGAGGGATGGAAGGCTGAGTCAACCTCAAGCCGGTTAAGATCAAACTCCAAGCTGTTGGCAGAGTTAGCTTGCAATGCTGCATTTTGTGTTTGCATTATGCTTTAATGTAATAGGGTTTTCTTAATCATCTTTGATATTTTTGTGTTATTTTGAGAAAACATATTTTGAGAAAATGTTATATATAAAACATTTTTGTGGGTGTGTGCTATGTATAAGCTGGGTTGACAAGATCAGAAATGAGGAGGTGATAAAGTCGCTTGGGAAAGCCAAGGGAAATCATCAAAACAATTAAAAAATGAAAGTTAGAATATTTCAGACATGTGATGCGACACCCAGAAAAATACGGCATACTCCATTTAATCCTCCAGGGAAAGATTGAAGGGAAAGGAGGTCCAGGCAGAAGAAGAACATCATGGCTTCAAAATCTAAAGGACCGGTTTGCACAAAATTCAGCAGCACTTTTTTGTGCGGCTGCTGATAAAAACAGGATCGCCAATATGATCACCAACGTCTGATATCGGATATGGCACAAGAAGAAGAAGAAGAAGAAGTGTGTGTGTGTGTTACAACATCAAAATATATACTATCTCTCATTATGGAAATACAGAGATTATGACTAGTTATTAATAGTTTTTAAAATTTCTAATTTACCTTTAAATGCTTTTTGAAAGAATGTTAGGTGTGATTAACTGTCTTATTTATAATGTAAACATGCAATGTAAACATAATGTAAACATGCAATAAGCTATTAATGTTCAGTTTAATATTTCTTTAACTCTTTTATTATCTCCCTCTCCCTCTCAAGAATGGGCAGTCTTTTCTTGATCAAGATCTCAGAGCACCAAAATGAAGAAAATGTTCTGCTGCCCCAACAAAGAAATAGAAATACCTCATCAGTCTTTATTTTTTTAGGAGATTCTTCTTTATGGGGAGACGATGTCCTCTTCACACCTGCTACAGGGCTAGTTACTTTAGTTGCAGTGTTTCCTGAAGGTCTCTGTGGTTGGTTGACAAGACGGGTTGAAGAAACTACTCTAGAGATGGTAGGCTTTGGTGGTGGAGAGATGGCTGGCTGTGTGGCAGTTTGAGGAATGCTTTCACTTGAAGTACCTATCGAAATATAATTTACTATTTACAATGTCATCCAATTTTTAATTTATGACTTCACAGACAAACAGCAAAGTAACATTTGAATTCTTTTCTTCAAGCCAATCATATTCTCCACTAAGGGCAGTTACATTTTATGACTAATTGTAGCAAATTAACCAAAATATACAATTTCTTCCTATTTGACGTAATTTATTCTGCAAGGTTTACTATCAAAAACTGCAAAGGGGAATTGCAAGCACTGAATTTATGACATTACCCAAGAGTGGCTTTGGTTTTTGTTCTAAATTAAAAAAATCTGGAATACACATATCAGCACTACAATGCTGAACAAAACTAAAAAATGATGACCAAATAATAACTATATGCTGAAGCAGGTCTACATTATAGTGCACATATTCTGTATTTTGAATAGAAGAAATGTAGAAGATACCAAGTCTATGTTAAGGATGAAAAAAAAACAGAGTTATTTGCAAAGTATATTCTGAATAAACTGAACTGAGTTGGAGAAACATCAACATGTGCCTAAATGAGCATATGTGAACTGAATACAAGTGAGAAAGAGATATAGCCATACATTTAAGTGCCACCTCTAGTGTTCTCTTATATGCAAGTCCTACTTAGAATTAATCATGCAAAGAAAGACTGGTTTGTACTCCCTCTTGCCTCTTTCAAGTTTTAGCTTACATACTTTCACTCAAAGCCTGTGCATAGCTAAAGTCAGTAATATCAAGTAACAAGCAAATAAATTACTAGTAAAAAATATTAAATAATTATTGCTGCTTTATTAGTTATTTCAATGAATTGAAGTTGCAAATGATAGGTTAACCCTACACTTCAAATGAATTGCTACTGAAAATCTAACCACGACAAATGGATTTCAATAATCTAGGAACAAATTTGAAGATTCATGTGGGTTTCTTACCCCCTGAGCTTTCACTGGAATTTATTTGTGGCACAGTGACTTCAGAAGCTTGTATGTTGGTCACAGATGCTGCTGTCACAGCTGGAGCAGGACTGCTTCTGCTAAAATATTTTTAAAAAGAAAACAGGAATTATAGGAAGGCATTACTACCAAGATTTCTTCCCTCTCCTCCACCTAACACCTCTGAGGTTTACTACCTCTCAGAAAGGCAAAGATGGGCCAGATGAAGTAGAACACTGATAACGTATTGATAACTACAGTAAGTTAGGCGGATTACTAGTTTGCATGTCTAAATTAACAGCATGATGCATCAACTCCATCAAGAATTCTGCTCAAAGGCTTAGAGAGGTACGTAGGCAGTGACAGGCTTGATTTGGTATGCCCATGTGTCACTACAGCTTCATAAGCTGTCCTGGTTACTACTGAGCTTCTCGATGAAATTCAAAGTGCAGGAAATTACCTTTAAAGCCCATCATGGCATAGTGTATGACATAGATTCCTGCCCATCTATTAAATAATATCATTTATCAGGATATGTATAGTAGTATGGTAGGGTACAGTACAAAACCTTTGTAAAGATCCAAGTTTGAAGTAAGAAATAAGATAACCTGTACATTTATAGTGCTTTAAAATCTGAAACAAATTATATGTTATATAAAGTTAAAAGATTCTCTGTGTAAATATTACAGTATGAATTATAGATACTAATAATGCTCTGAATATTAAGGTAAGCATTGGAGACAAATACCCCTGAGAGCTTCCAGAACTGTTCAAAGGACTTGTCTTCATAGCACTGGTAGGAGAAGGCACAGAAGTGCTGTTATCACTATCCATAGATAAGTCTAGGCTGTTGTCATTCAGCGCTGTCAACCTGACTCCTTCTGTTGAATGCTACAACCAAGAAGATAATGTATCACAGAAACAATTCAGAAGAACTAAAAAATATATATGTAATACAAAAACTAAACACTATCATTTTATGGGCCTGTTCAAGTATTAACATTTTATAGTTTGTTCAGGGACACCAGCAGGAAAAGTAAATTCTGATAAAAAAAATATCATAGCTAAGTGAAACATCTGCCTAACAAATTCCCATTCTTTCTGGACGTTCTAGACTACATTCATGCACTGCAAATATATTGCTTTCAAAATAAGCATACTAAATAAATATTTACTGTTTTCTTACAATTATGTTATGAGTGATATAGAAAATCTTAAACTTCTACAAGCTTTGTTTTTTTATAATTAACATCTAAACATTGCTAATGCTACATTCCTGTATTATTTGTAGTTAGCCAGTCAGAAATTACAGAAGAGCAGAGTACTAATTTTAGAAAATAGAAATAACATAATCCATTTTTGCTGTGCAGCAGTGGGCCTTATATACAGCTAGTCCTCAAATTACAACTGCAATTGGGACTGGGATTGCTAAGTGATGTAGTCGTGAAGAACAATTTCCCAGGACTGCAACATTTAGTGATGGCAATCAGGGCAATCCCATTTGCAGATGTGTGGGTCATAGGTCATTAAGCAGGAAGTGGAGGGAGTCCCCGGTAAGGAGTGTGGGGTGCGATTCTATGAGATCCAGTATAGACTGTGTGTGATTGGGGGGGAGGATGGTGCTGTGGTGAAGTGTAAAACCAGAAACACCAGGGAAAGAGGGTACAGGGGTCATGTGAGCACAGGAAGGCTGGGGAAAGAGGACTTGAGCTGCATGCATGCAAATGCAGGGAGATCAGGAAAAGAAGGCATGAAATGCATGGGAGCAAAGGGAAGTTGCAGAGAGTATGGGATGCATGCAAGTGCAGGAATGCCAAGGAAAGAAGGCATGAGGTGTGTATGAGCACAAGAGGCTAGAGAAAGAGGGTGCATGCAAGCAGAGAGGCCAGGAAAAGAGGGGGCAAAGGGGAGAAATAAGGACATGATGCATGCAACCGAAGAAAGGCGGTTGGGCAGAGAGAACCACCCGAACCACTTGTGACCTTTCTTGCCAGTTTCCCCAATGATTTTGCTAGTGGGAAACTAGCTGAGAAGGTTGCAAATGGTGGTCACTTGACTGACAATGCAACCAGTCCTAAGTGTGAGCTGGTTGCCAAGTGCCCAGATTTTGTTGATGAGACTATGGAAATGTTGCAATGGCCAGAAGTTCGAGGACCATCATAAGTCCCTTCGTTCAGCACCAACGTTAACTTTGGTAACTGAATGAGTGATCATAACTTGAGGACTACCTGTACCTTTTTTGTCTCTTCTCTACTACCTGCCTCCTGCTTTAGTAAAAAAAGGGTGCAAAACCAAGGTAGTGCTTTAAGAAAACAAAATTGTGATAACTTATTTTTCATAAATTTCATAAATTTTTCATCTTTAACAGACATTAAACTGTGATACTTGAGTACAAATGTTTAACATTACTCCTATCAACCAATGCAAACTATTTAAAATACCAATAATTACATCTGAATAAATATCATCCCAAAACTAAAAGTTAAAATTAAACCAGGAAGAAAGTAGATGGGATAAATGTAAATGGATTAATTTCTTATGCATGCATAAGAATACTTTTTTGAGGGGAGGAAAGCAGTACATACATACAATAATTAATTATAACAAAAACAACACAGCACTAGAACATACACAGACGAAGAGAGAGAGCGAGAGTTTATCACAATATCAATTAACTCAAATGTTACCTTTTTCTTTTTCTGAAGGACATGATTAGGTAGCAGTTGATGAAGTTGTTTTTTCCTAACATGCATTGCGGCAATTTTCATATCCATTTCAAACATCTTGCTGTTTATTGCTTGCCTATAAACTATGTAATTAGAATAAAATGAAGACATTTTATGTTTTGGAAAACTGAAACTTCCCCTGAAACAAATTTTATTCTGCACATATATTGATTCAAGAAGGAAAATCATAATTCTCAGAAAATACAATATCATTGTTATTCCCAATACCATTCTTATCCTCCCTTTGCTGAGGTATGTATATTTTTATAATATTTATTTTTAATCTGGATTTTATATTTTTTTATGTTTCCTGTTTTTATATTTGCTGTTCCGATTGTTATATGGCATCCAGTGTTGCGCATTGTGAAATGGATGGCTAATATAAATTTGAATCTTTAATAATAAATAAATACTAATATTATAACCAAAACCTGGAATTTAATCTAGTTTTCCTATCCACAAAACAAAATGTTCTCTTCTGTCTGTGGAAAGAACCGGAATTTAGTAGAACCTTTTCACATAAAGAAGGAACAAATGGTTCAAACATTATTTCTTTTTTCTCTACCTTCCAGCATGTACCGTATTTTCCGGCGTATAAAACGACTGGGCGTATAAGATGACTCCCAACTTTTCCAGTTAAAATATAGAGTTTGAGCGAGGGGGGGGGAAAGAAAACTTGATGAGTAATATGCCAAACCACATGTGTAAAGGAATAAAATAGAATACCCATATTTTCCGGCGTATAAGACTGGGCGTATAAGACGACCCCCGACTTTTGAGAAGATTTTCAGGGTTTAGAAAATCGTGTTATATGCCGGAAAATACGGTACATGCTTCAAATAGAAACTCTATTTCTCTTTTAAAAAAAAACATTCGGAGAAATAATGGGAAGGGTGGAAGGAACATGAGCTTATAAAAGCTTACCATCCCTCCTTTTTGCAGCACTCACTGATTTAAATAATTTGGACATATATGAAAGGAAACAATTGTTCTAAAAACTACAGAATATTTCTTCTTATGTAACTTAGGAGAGAATTATGTCTACCCAAAAGGAAGACAGCATTGATCTTAAATAGTAGATAAAAAGAAGTATAGGCAAACCCCTACCTTAGTGCATAGAGCCCAGTTTGCAAAATCTACCAATTCGAATCCTAAAGATTTTTTCCTTTCAATCAATAAATGTGCGCATGACACATGTATATGGGTATGCTTATATGTATGAGTGTATATATACACCTGTCAGGACTCACACTCCAAAGAAATGACAGGGCCAGGACTCCAAAAATAATTACAATAATTGAATTAATAACTAAAAATTGCTTTAAAATAAATGTTACCTATTTAGAAAATAATTGATTACATAAATTAAAATCAACTTTCACATTATCATTCTTCCTGCTCCTAGCAGAGAACAGAAAAACAGAAAAGTGGGACAGATATATGCCAAGATGGATAATTGCATTGGGGGAGTAAGATGAAGGGGAATAGGGAATCTAAAGCAAGATGAGAGAAAAAGGCAATTGGACGAAGGAAAGAAAAGGTTGGGCTGTGTAGTTATTACATACAGAGCTAAATTCACCATGCAAACAGTCTCACCAAACATTATTCACTTTGCCATTTACATCAAATATTTCATTTAAATGGTTTTCTTAAAGAGATTCTCTCTGATTCCCCACCCCACCTCAAAAAAACAGAAATCAAGATCCTGTGGTACCTCTTGAGTAACAAATTTTAGTAAAAGACATAGCACTCCAATATTGGATGTTCAGAGTTATTGGACTGAAATAGGATTTATTTGAAAGAGGATGGAGGCGATGACTGGTTGATTATACAGATATAGTTTATATGTGAGACAGATTGCAAGTATATAATCAATTAACAGCTGTAATGTTTAAAAACCTATTGTGTCTGAGACCTTCTGATTTTGCCTGGAACCTTTTGATCAGGGGTCTTCAAACTTGGCCCTTTTATGACTTGTGGACTTCAACTCCCAGAATTCCTCAGCTAGCGTGCCTGGCTGAGGAATTCTGGGAGTTGAAGTCCACAAGTCATAAAAGGGCCAAGTTTGAAGACCCCTGCTTTTGATGTATGTGAGTTCATGTATTTGAGCTCTCGAGCTGCAGGTGACAATTAGTAATGCTCTATTGTTCTGTTTCTATTGTTCTGTTTGTCTTTTAATAGATACTTCTTGGGAATCGATCTGGCTCTACAGGCATCCTCATTTAATGACCATTTGTTCAGCAACCATTCAAACTTGCAATGACACTGAACAAGTAGTATGATGTAAGAACCTTTCCTGTCAGCTTCCCACAAGTAAAGTCATTATGGAAGCCAGCAGGAAATCAGAAGTCGCAGCCACATGAGATCCTCACTTTATGACCTGTGTGATCCTTGTTTAACAATATTCATAAGGGATTGCCAGAACCACTGTCACTAAGCAGCATGATCATGTGACACTGTATTTTACAACTGCATTGCTTAGCAACAGAAATTCCAATTCCAATTACTATTGTTAACTGAGAACTACCTGTATTGATCTGATTGTTTATCCCATGCAGCTCAGTCTTTTGAATGCCTGATATCATTTCAATTGCAAATGTCTGTCAAGTAGGTCTGAATGAATGTGATTGTAGTTTAGAGCCTTGCTGAAGACGATAGAGTTGATAGTATCCTGGCAGCATTGAAGTATGCCGGGCAATCTGTAAGTTGCCTGCATAATATGATATTTATGTGTTCTTATTGTTTGGTCTTCAACCTACCCCTTTTAGGGAATATCGCTGAGACAGTGGTGAAGGTTCAAATACAATTGGTTAACCAAGTAAATAACCTGTATACAGATTTCTAAAATGCTCCTTTCAGTGTTACTAAATTTAGTTGTATTCCAAAATATTTAATCACCACAAATGCATAAGCAAAATGATTATAAAACTATAGTAGGTTCTTTATAATGGACAGCAACACGATAGAATGAGAAAAACTTATGGAATTTAATGGGATAATTGTTATTTTGTATTTAAATTCTATGTTTATTGTTATGAATTCTTCTTCCCCTTTCTATTTGTGATTTTAATAACAAGTAATTATAACTAATAAGTAATACACCAATATGTTAATGTTATTATGATTAATTAGCAATATATTAGCAATATATTAAGTATGGTTATTTTATATTAATTATTATGAGTGAATATGTATACCCGGACGGGTTTACTTGCTAAAGAGTTGGCTTATTGTGGGGATAACCCTACTATTATACCTATCCCTTCCCCTGGTCTTTTGTTTGTCACCCCTTGTTATACCCCCATTGACCCCAGTTCCCCTTTATCCTTATAAAATCTAATAAAATATTTATATAAAAAGAAAGGCCATAGTGCCTGGGCACCAATAAAAAAAGGAATATGACAGAAGTATCATATGTGGGATAGAACGCAATGAGAACTGAAGTTTATCTAATGAAGGTAAATTGAAAAGAATCAAAAAGGTTGCACACCTTTAAACTATAAATAATTAAACCAAAGTATAAACTGCTATTAGATATAGAAACAGCCACCATTTAAGAGATTTAAAAGAGACCCTGAAAAATTCATGAAAAATAGAATTACAAAGCTTTTTACTACCTCATAAACCAAATATGGCATTCTTAAATGCCAGTTGCTAACTTTTGAGATTCTGGGATTCATCTGGTCACCCTCTATGAGTCCAGAATGCTGGATTTTATATAAACTTTTGTTCTTATTCATTTATCACTCTTGTGGAATGTTACTGCGTTTTATAGACAAAAGTTTAGGCTGTTATGGAAACATAACAGTGTGATCAGGTGTACTATTACAATTACTGCTGATACTAGTCAGAAGACTATAGCATTTATATTTAAAACTCGGAGAGAGGCAAAATTATAACTATGAAGGCCAATACTTTGCTAACAGTTGCCAGTACTCCCAAAGTATATTTCTATAATCCAAAGCAAGAGCAGTTACCAAACTAACAAAGCTTGGGGGAGAGGTTGGAACAGAACAATTTAATCAGTCAAACTTACCAGTATCAGTAAAAGACTGAATGTCAAATGTAAGATCAACACTCAGATTTTCAGAATTCTCTGTTTTCTTAAACACTAATCCAATCACCCACATTGTACGAAACTCTTCCCTGAGGGAATAATAATAATATATCAAAAGGACAATAGAAAGAATCCTAAAATATAACTTTTGGTAAATAACTATTTCCAACATCGGACATGGAAACATTTGTGTAAAATATTATAAAATATTCAACAGAGTTACAACAGTTCAGTGATTTTAGAATTATATAAAGATCTTGGAATTCTCAGAAACTATTGCTCAGTCCCAAGAGGCTAAAACAGTCAGAGGCTTGTTGCCAAAACAGGGTAAGTAAAGTTGTGCTCTAGCCTAATTTCAACCACTTCATGATAGCAACAGAAAATTATGGATTTTTAAGTTCCCATCAAATCGAATAAACATTAGCTTATATTGATTTCAACCCTCCTAACTATGTGAGGAAAGCAAACCAAATCTGGTTTGGGTAGGGCAAACCTGTTTTCTCCTGTGCCTAGCCCATCTACCAAGTCTTTTTCAACTCCTCTTAAAAATAAATAATACCTTAACAGAAATGCATTTCTGCCAACACAGACCTACTTCACCTAAGTGCATCTTTAAATTAGGACTGCACTCTACCTGTTCAACATTTAATGGCTGTCAAATGCAACAAATTTTGGCTTATAAATAGTACCAAACAACTACTTCAACTACTTTGTCTCTTCTTTAAGTAAGCTGTTTAAGTTTGAGATCCTATTCCATGGTCTATTGCAGGCTTAGTAGTAATTGTCTTGTTTACTTTTGTTTAAATCTTATTCACTGAATAGGAGTTTGCACACAGAGGCGCAATCCTATGTATAGAAGACTGCGCAAAAGCCTTCTGTGGGTAAATTCAAAAGTAAATGTCCATTTGTGCAAAGTCTCACAGAATATCTCAAGATGTATAACAATGCAAGGCAAAATCTTAGACATGATTTTGCAAACATCAGCAGACAATGTTTGTGGAATAGAGGACAACTGTTAGAATGTTTTTTGCAAGTACACCTCCAGATCCACCTTCAGTTTTTGTAGTACAGTAAAGGTACTTTAAATCTTAGCTGCATCTGCATATATTATCCCAATTTTAATCTTTTTCTGTCAGTTTTTCTACATTTCCTGTGGATAACAAGAAACGGATTTTCTTCCAAGTCATGACCTAAATTAAACTGTCAAACCTTCTGACAAAGTTAATAGGAAAAACTGCCTTCTTTCTTTTTAATAACATTTCTTCCAGTAGTTTTATTAATATTTAAGTGCCTTACTTGTCAGGATTTTCTTTGGGTGCTGGGAATGACTGAGGATTTACATGAGCCAGTGTAATGAATTCATTCTTCTCCAAGCTTCCAACCAAGATACGGATTTTTGACTCTACTAAGCCAACCCTAAAAGAGAACAAGTAATATTGAATAATACAAATAGTAAGTCAACTGGAATAAGTTAAAAACATAATTGCTTGTGAATGAAATTTCACAGAATATTTCTGTCAATGTCATGTTCCCCTTCATCCTTTATTTCTCAGGAGGACTGAAGAACCTTCCACAAATACATGGGTTGCAAAATAAGAGTTGTAGAAGTTCAGCAAAAATAGTCTTCTTTACAAGAGATTCCAGTGTACAAAAGAGCATAAACATATCTATTTCACAATTCATAATTTTTAGAAAATGCTTATTTAGATTTATGGCATCTAATTTTCCAGGCTAATTTCCCCATCACCGGTTATTAAAGATTTATTCAACCACAAGCAAGATAAAGATTCTAGTTCTTTTCTCCATTGGGATCTCTTGCTGAATCTCTTAGTTCTAGATGGGAAAAATCTGTTATTTCCAGGACCCAGCTGTTTTAGGAAGCTTTTGGAGACTAATAATACTCTGGGGCTAGGGCTATTGTTCTCAGTGTGCTAATAGCTACGAAGTTGGTTGTTTGGAATTTTACATTTTATTAATTTATATCCCAACCTTCATTATTTTTACAAATAAGGTGCAGATATCCCACATACTTTCCTCATCTTACTTCCCTCACAACCCTATGAGGCGAGTTGGGCTGAGAGGAACTGGCCCAAGGTCAGCCAGCTGGCTTTCACGGTCAAGGTAGGACTTATACTCACAGTCTCTTGATTTCTAGCCTGATGACTTAACCACTGGAGCAAATGTTATGTTAAATCTTTTTATTTTTTTTAATCATTTGTAAGGTGGTCATAGCCTTTTTAGAACTGAGTAACATTCAGATTTTAGGAAGTAAATGAATACAATAATCAAAGAAGAAAAATTATGCATACTTATGGAGGAATGATTGTTTTCTGTAAAGTTACCTCAATATGATTGTGACATGTAATCAGGTAATCAAACATACTAATTATTTGCTTAAGAAGCTATCAAACTCTAATTGCAGCATTGTTTATCTGGTACTGCTAGTTTTCTAAAGTTTATTTAGAGCCCTATCAAACAGAGACAAGAATAAGTTGATTAGAATAAGTTGTGTGAAGCCTGGCAGACAGACAAATCAGCAATCAATAGAAATAGAGATAAACCACTTTTATACACCATTCAAAGAGACAGTAAAAAAGGTAAGAAGGAAGCAGAAAGATCAAAATACATTTTCTCAGCAGCCAAAAGCCAGATAAGCAGGGATAATCACTAGACAAACTCCAATCAAGCAGAAAACAATATCCTACTCCCAATCAAGGAAATACCAAGCAGTAAACCATACCCCCATCAACACTGGCAGGGCAAATTTCACTAGTACTAATGAAGTTACCTACTCAAGTAATGAAATGTCTGCTAACAAACAACAAGTTCAGAGAGCATCAAGATTCCACAAAAATAAGTATCAAGTGCTCTGGTTTTACATGGATTTTTCCTTGTTTTTCTTTTTAGTTATAAGTATTTTCTATTTAGCAAATTTCTATGTTCTATTTAGCAAATTTGTTCAGTTGGTAGCCTGAATAAAGTGAGATGAGGATTTAAAATGATATTAATCCCACTTGTTGGGCTTAGTTTTATTAACTTTGATTAGTGAAAAACAGAAGATAGTTGTCAAATGATCCCAAAGAATGATTTACCCAGTTCTGCATAACACATTTTTAGAATATGTGCTTATCAGCCAAACAATAAAGAACTTAGTTGTTTCTGAATTTCTCCTTTATTGATCATTCACTCCTCAATTGGAGGAAAAAGCAACAATCACAGATGTATAGCATATTCATTTGCAATTTTCTGCTTAGACCACAAATTATCTGCCCATAATCAGAGAAGGATCACATTCAAATGCTAAAAGATGATAATATGGAGAATATGACTCACCATTCTAATCGCTGTTTTTCTGTTGGTGCACTTGCTAGAAGTACAATATAATGCCTTTGAAAATAAAAACAATATAATTTTCTTTTTAAAATTTGCTTTGTATCCTATTTTACAACATTTATTGTATCTTCATATATTAACACTTACTATGTGCTTTGATGAGTGTGCAGATCTGCTTCAGAAAAAAAAACAGCAACTGTGCCAAGAAAAGTTCACAGCAATTATCTGCCTCTACTGAAGTGAATTATTTTGTGGCCATCCTTTGGCCTGTCTATTGGAAGTTCTGTGATAGATGTGATTGTTTAACATACTGCAAATCAACAATTTCTTGATGTGAATATCTACAGTGGGTGAGTGCACACACACATAAAAGTAAAGGTTTCCCTTTCCAGTTGTGTGTAATTCTAGGGCAGGCATGTCAAACTCGCGACATCACTTTATGTCGCACAACGTATTGCGACTTTTTCCCCATTGCCGGCAATGGGGTGGGTGCGATTTCGATGTGACGCATCCGGCCCATGGGCCGGCAGTTTGACATGCCTACTCTAGGGCGTGGTGCTCATCTCTCTTTCTTGACCGAGGGAGTCAGTGTTGTCAGACTTTTTCCATGGTCATGTGGCCAGCATGGCTATATGCCAAAGTCGTACGGCACATAGAAATTTGATTAGAATCACTACAGGTACAAAAAAGATAAACAACAAATGCAAATCACAGTATTTCTGACTTCCAGAACAGACTCAGAAAATTGTATTGAGTGATATAGGGAATGAACAATATAGAATGGTGTAATCTGCTACCTAACTGTCCTCTCCAAACTCTGCCCTTTACTATTACCGCTAGGCAAAATAAAACTAGAAGCATCATTTAATCTTGGATGGCCTGCAAATAATATTGAAATGGACTTTCCCAAATGTTAGAATTTGTTCAAATTTCTTTCCTAGTAAAATGTATACAGTAAATTCATTCACAAAGCTAGTCCAAAATAATACTACGTTACAGATGTTTGGTTTTAATTGTTTTACAATTCTTATAAATTTTAGGTTACAGTCTCTGATTTGTTTAAGCTTATTAATAGTAAACTGAGCATCCAAGCTATTTCAAATGAAATGAAAACTCTTTTTAACAATCAATTGTATCTTAAGCTTGTGTTTTTTTTCCAGCATTTTCTTAGCATAATTTATATTTGAAGGACAGATGCTATTTTCTGGTGAATTTTGCTTTAATTAAGTACTTTGTTATGAAGTATAATTAAGTTCTGAGGTTTTTGTGGCAGAGTACAGAAAACAAAATATTGGATCATTATTGCATCACTATTAAATATTAATCAATCTGTACTTATTAAACTTGCACCTATCAATACATAGAACTGGATCTTTTAATGTAATATCCTCTAGTTACTGTTATAGTTACTATTAAGAAGACACATTATACAATAAATTCCATATGCAGAAAGTACCTAGACTAAAATAATGTACGGTTTCAGTAAGAATAGTACCGTTGTAACTATATAAGCATTTTAGATTTGGGGAATCAACCTTTATCAAAATATTCTTGGAAACCTACATATGTGTTTTACTCAAACCCAGTTTTACACAGAGCTTTTCATAAAAGAGAGCATGCTTGATTATTCAGGTAAGTCATTTTTCCCCTCCAAATTACTATTCATTCTTTACTTGGGAAGCAGGGAGGGATGTGCCTATAGGAGGTCTCTGAATTGGCAACAGAACAATCAAAGCTGTTAAGTAGCAAAACAATATATAAAATATTATGCAATTATGGAATTTTGTAGAATTCTATGAACTTTTTTAAATTTCTATATCTTGTATCTAATTTATATCTCATTCATTAAAAGTCTATGGAGATTCTCAATCATCCAGGTCATGTTTGTCCCAAAGGTACTTTTCAAAATGCAATTGAAGTTACTTTTTTTTTTCTTTGAAGATGTTTTGCTTCTCATTCAAGAAGTTCCTTCAGTTCTGGCTGAATGATGAGGAATGGAAGGATTTATATTCCTTAGCAGTCAGCTCTCTTGAGTCTTTGAGGTACGACTCTCAGAGAGGTAACGACGGACCTTTAGAGTGCTAAAGACCAGATGACGACTAAGAGATATAAATCCTTTCATTCCCCACCACTCAACCAGAACCGAAGAAGCTTCTTGGATGAGAAGCGAAATTTCTTCAAGGGAAAAAAAAGAAAAGAAAAGAAAGTCCAGTTGCCTTTTGAAAAACATCTCTGGCCAGTCTTTTAATTGTGGGAGGGATTGCATTAATTTAAGCTTTAGGTACGAAGCACAGACAAAAAAAAAAAGTAGTTTACTGCTGGGAATGGGGGGCATCTGTAACTGTAATAGAAGGTACATAAAAATATACACATTTTAAAATATATTTTTTAAAATAAGCTATATCTTTTCTACAAAAACAGCAATCACACTTAGATTTATATACTACTCCATAGTGCTTTACAGCAGAGCTCCCCAACCTTTCTGGCTTGGCGGCCTGGAAGGAAAGGTTGTAGGGAAATGTGCACAGGCGTGACCCCATGCACAACTGCGCAAATGGGGCCGCTAGCGCCTGCGAGGTGGTGCTACGAGTGGGGGGGGCTCACCAGCTATTCCTGGGGCCCAGTGGCCAAGAGGCCATGGCCCGGTACCCAACAGGCCACGGCCCGGTACCGGGCCGTGGACCATACATTGGGGATCCTTGCTTTACAGCATTCTTTGAGCAGTTTAGTGTCAGCATATTGTCTCCAACTATCTGGGTCCTCATTTTATTGACCTTGAAAGGATGAAAGCCAACCTTGAGGCAGTCAGGATCAAACTGCAGACTGTGGGCAGAGTTAGCTTGCAATACTGCATTCTAACCACTGCGCCATCAGGGCTCCTGACTATTCAACTAATCCAACTATTCTCCATTATACTACTTCAATTTCTAATAACTTATTTGCAAAGCCCCCAAAATCCTCCAGGTAACTATAAAGGTGATTTGCTAATTATTAGAACTCAAATCAATTCCTAGGTGAAATTTATTTTAATCAAGTGTGTGTGATCAATTCAGCATTTGCCCATTACAGCAATGCTAGTCAATTTGCCAGTTAAAATCATAGCACTAAGCATAAGAATGTTAGAGATTAATATATTTAGAAAGCATCTTTCATACCATAAAATACATACTTGTATTTTTGAAAGAAGTTTGGAGCTTCAAAAAGTTTGGACCACTCTGCCTTACTCAGCAAAATTTCATCTGTGATAGCAAGACCTGAATTACAAAAACACATATTCAGCCTTTTACACATTGTATCTGTTTGAACATCAATTTGCAAATTACAAGGGCTAAGACTATTATTACAGTTACTCAAATAAATATCTTCATTATGAGGACCTTTTTCAGTTTATTAATTATTTAAACTTAACAAAGTATCAGAACTCTGTACTAACAAGCATATACTCTACTCAGTTTGCTGTTTAAGATTTCAACAAAAACTGCTTTGTCACTCAAGCTCTTGAAAATCAGAAAACATAGGGATCAAACTTGATGCAATTATGTTTTCATGTCATTAAGCTAGGTAGGAGTTACTGTATATATGATCAGGTATTTAGAAACCAAATTGTACTATGGCTAAAATAATTAACTGAAAGCATAATTTGCTAATATTTAATCTTTATCAACTTTTCCAGTTCATAGTTGAAAGTTTACTCTTCTTAGGATATATGTTGTGGTATATAATTACTACTATATCTGAAAACATACCAGCCGTAGGTAGGAGCTCTCGGAATATTTTAGAAAGCAAGGACTGGATAAAATGCCATACTCAATCACTTTCCATTTGGGAAATGTTCTTCCTAAGTTTTAGTATTTGGGAAATCCATAAATTCATAACTTACTACTATTCATTGAGTGCATCATGGCTCTGTTGTCCATATACAGCATATATGAAGTAGGGCAGAATTTAAAACTTTCAGGAATAGATGAAGTAGGGCAGAATTTAAAACTTTCAGAATTACTTACCTTGCTTAAATTCTTCAACCATGACCATACGTGTAGAAACAGACACATTGTAGGTAGAGTTCTGCTGGGGATATGCTGGTGTAATTATAGGCATAAGATGGTACCTATCACTGGGATTTACCTATACATAACAACAGCCAATCAGTTTTCTTCAATCACATTCAAGTAAAAAAATTTGGATCTGTCCATTGAAAAAAAAACTTCAAAATGATTATTCTGGTAAGAACTAGTAACTGTGAATCATATTAAATGGTTAAACAATTTCAAACGTAAAAAATGGCCAACAAAGTGTATTTTGCTTTCAACAATAAAAAAAACCTGCTATGTTCTTATGATTATAAAACTGAAGTACTTCAATAATACTGAGGAATGTTGAAATTACCTGGTATTAAGCCAGGCAGTACAATATTGATAAACCTGGTGGCACATTACTACTTGAATCTGCTTTGTAATATGTGGTCCAAATTTTATTGTAGTATAAATTAAGAAAAAGGCCAATTTCATTTTTTAAAAAAACACAAACAAAAAAAGACTAAGCACCCACAGGATCATATGTTTTTAACGTATCTTTTATTTAGAACAGTTTGTTTGATGAAGGAATAGCAAATGCATTTCAATATTTTTAAAGTTTCATTTTTAGACTTTAAATCCTATTATTTCCTTACATTTGTTTTATTTATCTATTAGAGTACACACTGTTATTGTGCCAAAAGGTAACAAGGCAATAGGAATGGTAAGCATAACATAACATTTAATGAGGGCTTTTATTAAAGTAAACTATTTATTGTAAACAAAAACTGTACAGTCTTCACATACACTCAGTTTGCTTGTTTTGGTGAACCAAACGAGCTCCGATTCCATGTGCTCTGTAGATATAGGTCTTAAATCCAGCTGGGATTTCAGCAAGCCCCAAATTCAAATGAGATAGCCACATACAATAGGGAGAAAAATATTCTATTCTTTTTAACCTCTTGTGTAAGCCATAGAGAAACCCAATAAATTGTTCAAGGGTACACCAGCCTACAGCACTGCTGAACTAAAGGATGTGGAGCTGGTTAGGACTGAGTAAAAAAAATAACTGGGGGTCCCATGAAAGTCACTCTGAATTTTCTAATGGAATAATTGAGGAGTAGAAAACCATGCTCACAATCATCCACAGAAAAAAAGATACTGTAAGCAACTGCCCATTAGCAGGCATGTGTGACATAAGTGAACAATACTGGCCCCTCATAGAACTATTATTTTTAGTAAAACTATGGATCGTTAACACTTAATTCTCAAATTGTATGGTGAATGAACTGATATAACTTTAAACCTGAAGCACAGTTACATTTTAAGGCTTATCACTGGTGAATTTTTACCAACTGATGAGAGACTTTATAGCAGACTTGAAGTGTAATTCAGGACAAAAAGTAACCATAATCTGTATGTTACAAAGAGCAGGAAGTTCTGATAAACTACTTAATATTTGAATTGTAATGAATAGGTTCTCAGGGGTTTCATCACTTTGCTTTACTTTACAGTTTGAACTTATATGGGGAAAAAATAATACACTAACCCTTGGATCCCATACAGGCAAATTAAGATTGCATTCTTCTGGCTGTTTCAATAGCACTGGATTTGGCCATTCCCTGTTTAGAGAGATTGTAGCACTGAGTAAGAAAAGCACTTATTAAAAAGCAAACAAACATGTTTGAATGTGAGCCTTTATTTTATACAGATGCAGTATTAGCTGAAGCTTTTTTTTCAAAAGAAATCTCTCTACTTTTATTTTTTTTATTAAGGAATGTTCTTTTCTTAATTAAAAAAATTATCAGGCCACAGAGTCAACAAAAGCTATTTTAAATAAATCACTCCTCCCCCAATTGATATTCATATTTAAAGGGCTCCTGTGGAGGTATATAGTTATACTATTAGTTATGAGAACATTATTTTAACATTTATATTCCATTTCTCACGCCCGAATGGATAAGAATTGCCATCGGTAAAGAGTATGAATGGTACGAATATTTGACATTACTTGGCAAATGAACTCAGCATTTTGTCTGTTAGTTGTATCCTCACAGAAGAGTACCCTGATCATTTCAAAATGAATTTAATATGTAAATTATCCAATATATCGTTATGTTTTAATGAGTTAACTAGCCTTAATAATTCTATTATTCTACTCAGTCAAAAGGTGTTTCTTCTAAGAAACAAATTTCAACACAAATCTGAAAAGCCACATATTTTATGCACACCATTCTATCCATCTTATTCAATATTTATAAAGTCCCCAGCATAAGGTAATGGTGCATATGTGTAAAGTACCACAAAGATTTATGTTTAATTCTCTAACCAATAGAGGTATTATCTGTCATTCCAGTTCAAACAATATTATAAAAATTAAATCCAACATTAAGAATGACCATGAAGACAGTGTTTTTTTTTATCATAGAGCAGACATGTCAAACTCACGACGTCACATGATGTCGCGCAACGTATCGGAGCTTTTTCGCCATTGCCGGCAATGGGGTGGGCGCGGCTCCGGTATGATGAAACCGGCCCGTGGGCCGGCAGTTTGACACCCCTGTCATAGAGCATTCTTTTTATGAAGAAATAATGAAATTGTTTCCAAGTGGTACCTGGAATTATTTCAGTCTCACCCGCCTGCAAAAAAATCTTTGAGGGGGAAGGCTTAAAAAGTATTCAGAGCACCATTAACCATCTCAATTATTCCATGAAATATGTAGCATGGAAATTACCTCATGCATGGTTATTGTGGATTAACTATCCCTTAAACTATCTTTAAGGTTCTCTACACTACTGCATCAAACCATTTTGGCTACATATGTTTGTGTACCCCCTAATTAGTTAAAAGTAAAATGGATGACATTATAAGACACGAGCTCCTAGGCTCACAAAGGCCACGTTCGGTTTAGTTTAAATGCCTTATTCAATGTAAACAGAAGCTCTATACTGGCAGCTATAAAGTTTAGCAACTGTACATCTCTGCTACAGTGTTTTGCAATCTCTTGGGAGAATAAATGCTCTTTTAAGTGAAACTCTTAACCTGACACCATCTGAATAAATGCCATAGAAACAACACTAAAATGCAGGGTCTATAATAATTTTTATTTTAGTGTAATCTAAAGAGACATACCATTTAGAAAATACCAAGAAAAATTTATGTACAAGAGTTGATGCTATTGCATTTGGATAAAGCTGGCAAGTTCTTGCTACTAGCATAGCCCAGGAAACTCCACCAAGGAAACCTAGTATATTGGAATAGATGTTGTGCCCTGTTATTTAGAAGGGAAAAGAGACAGATAAGTTTAGTTTCTTTCATTCGATAGTATAGTATCTTTTTAAAATCTAGTTTCATAAGACTCCACTTACGTTTGGCCCACAGTTTGATAGCTCTCAGTGTTAACCTGAAATTGTCAATGTTTGGTACTAGATGGAGAATTTCATCCGTTACTCTGCAACCTGAAACACAGAAGCAAAAAAATAACATCAGAATCTTATTTTTCTTTCAAATACTTGGAAATTAGTCAAAAATAACACTCAGCTCTAATATCTAGCTGTAAGGTTTTATATTTGTAATCTAATGCACATGTTGACAAAATAATACACAAACTGATACTCAATTTCAAGCTGGAAGTTCTTAAGTTCAGATGGAAACCATTAAACACAAACCCAAGTAATTTTGTTATTGGGCAGGTAAAACTTATGATAAATAAAGCCTAAATAAAAGTACCAGTTATAATACAGAGAGGTGCAGTAGTTGGGGCAAGAAACTTGTTTTCCAGAAGTTATTTCTCCAAAATGTACTACTTCTTAATAGACAAGACAAATGTGCATTATTTTGCAAGCTAAAATAATAAGCCAACATTCCAGCAGAGAGTTGCTACTCCTCAAAGGACTGTTTACCATTTTCATACCCCAAGCCATGTCATCTAAAAAAATCTTTTTCAATTTGGGTGGGGACAAGAAACAAATGGTTCCAACTTCTTAAAATGTTCCGCCACATGGCTTTTCACAACAGGTTATGCAACTGTTTTATATTTAAGATAAGTCCAATATTTAGGAGAAAAATATTTATGCAATTAAGAGCAGAAATCCTTATGAAAAGTCAGACACTTGCTTAAAAACTAAGGTTTACCTTTTGCTTTGATTATACAAATCTGATTAAAATAAACTCACCATTAAGACTTCGTATGCATCTAATGTCTAAATTTTTAAGTAGACTATCATCTCGAAGGTCTAGGTCTTCAGGAATAGTTTGCAGTGCTAACCTGGCAAACAAGATATCAATCTAAACAAAAATAAATAAGGTAGAATAAGCTCTCAATCATATTATCCCATTTGCTGAGAAAATATTACAAAGCTGTAGTTTTTAGAGGCACATTAATACAATTTTATTACAAGGTTCTCTCAACCAGAATAACCAGTAATTTCCATAGTGCATTCTGCAGCTTAAATGAGGTAGAAATCTAAACAGTAGATACTTTCATTATTTCCCAATAAAACCTGATACATGTAATCCTCGCTTAAGCACCATTCATTCAATGACCCTCGAAATTTACTACAAGTTATGGCCGTTGCAGCGCCTTCATGATCATGTGATTACAATCTGGGATCTTGGCAATCAGCCTTACAACAGGCTTATTGAATATACACGGAGTCCTCAACTTACAACCATTCATTTACTGGCCATTTGAAGTTACAGTAGCACTAAATAAAGAGAGTTACAACTGGTGCCTGAAGTTATGGCTGTTGCAACATTACCATGATCACATGATCTAAATTTGGCCACTTAGCAACCTGCCTGCATTTATGGCTACTGCAACTCCTCTACCTGCCTAATATGCCCTTTTGGGTTCCTGCACTCTGCAGCCCAACTCCCTGGCTGACCTTTGCTGTCTTCTTGCTCCCACTGCTGACCAAGCATGCTTAGATTGGTCCTCCGAGAGACAGCTGCTCACATTTTTCCATTCTATCTTTCATTATTCTTTACTTACTACCTTTTCTGTTTCAAATCAGTCTTGTGACTCTGCTTTCTTCTCTCATGTCCTCTGAATAGTGCATTTGGATATCATAATTGCAAGGTAAAGTTCAAGAAGCTTTGCAGTTTAATTCACATGTTGATTGCAAGTAAAATTATACATGAAGAAAGTCTTGAATAATGAAAAAGATTTCATCCCTTACTACTTCAGTAAATAAACAGATTTCCTATCAAACGAGTTTATCCCATATTAAGGTGTGTATCCCTGAACATTTTGGTAGGCTTGGTACTGCTTGTTGCTTTTAGAGGACTACATAGTATGGGACCAGGTTATTTAAAGGACTGCCTCTCTGCTCACCCCATGAGATCTGGCAGAATTGGCATGTTCCAGGTACTAGTGAAAAAACAATGTCATCTAGCAAGTCCAAGAAAGCGTGCCTTGTCACATGCCCTGTGGAACAGTTCCCCTCTTGAAATACAAACACAGCCTACTCTATTGACCTTTTGCAAAGTCATAAAAATCTAGGCATTTGGAAGTGAGATGTTAGTTTGGGAGTTTTGGTATGAGTGTATATATCCAATAGTTTGTTTTTAATGAATCTTGATGCAGTTTTAGTTGGTGTTGTTTTAATATAATTCTCTGCTTTGGTTTCTTTACTGTCCAGAGTTCTAATGGCCAGCCATATAAACTGGATGGATGGAGGGATTCTTATAACTGAAGCCACAACGTATTCTGCCATATAGAATCTCCATCCACGGGAGTCTTACAAAGAACTAAAGCTTCTTTAACTGTTGAAGGTTAAAATCCCGCATTCTGCCTTGAAGGCTTGGTTAAAGGTCTTAGGAAACAGAAAAAGGAATTGAAATGATTAGTTACTAGTAACACCTCTCCCATCAATGGGCCTATTATGAGATCCATAATAGTGGAAAGTTCTGGTTCCTTGAGACCTAGGTCTTGTCTTCTAATTCAATGATTCCTCTAAACTGGGAAGAGTTGTGGACTCCTTTGAGAGCACCCAAGTGTGACTTCATTCTTTTCTAAAGAGCAGGTGTGTAACATATAAGAAAAAAGGATTTCATCTTACCTCTATTCCATCGAAACACAATTTAATAACAGGAACAAACGCTTCTTCAACAGCCTGAAAAATAAGCATTTTGCAATGAGAACTATTCATTCTATGCAGAAACAGCTTCAGATTGTCCTACAGTATACTTACAACCCTTTGTTCAGTGACCATTTCAAGTTATGACACTGCTGAAGGAACTTATAACCAGTCTCCAAAGTTATGATTGTTGCAGTATCTCCCTAATCACATGTTCAAAATTTGGGTACCTGGCTGCCTGTCCACCCTTACAACTACAGTGGTGCTTCAACTCTCCTCCTTCCCCCTATCTTTTTCTCATCTATGCCCTTTTGGTCCCCCATATTCTGTGGCCCGATACCCTAGATGATTTTCATCATCTTCCTATTCCGGCTACTGACCAATTATGCCTAGCCTGGTCCTTCAGGAGGTAGCCACACAAGGCTTTCTTTCCAAGATTACACATGGCAGTTTCCTCATGAGACCTGGGGAAGATCGACTCACATGGTTTCCTTGTGAAGAGTCAGGGTGGGCATGCATTGTCAGTGGTAGGAGCAAGATGTTCAGCTGAGGAAGTGGAGTAAAGGGCAGCAAGGTTCTTGAAGCACAGGGTAGCAAACGACTGGGCTGCAGCAGCTGGGGCTTTTCAGGATACAGTAACTTTGTGCTGCTTGGTTCCTGGGCTGTGGCAGTTCTGTACCATGCTACTGGGGTTTCTTAAGATGTAGCAGCGTTGCGCCATGCTGCTGGGACTTCCTAGGACATGGCAAATATGCACCACACTGCTGGGCTGGACTGTGACAGTTGAACTTTCAGGGACAGGTATGGTTTTGCACTGCCCTGTGGCTCGGAGGCTTCTTGAAGTCCCAGAGCCTCAGTGCACCAAGAAGCCGTTGAGCCAGAATGTGGCAAGCAACTCCAGAGCCATGAAGTTCTGTGACTGCTTGCTGAATCACAAGGCAGGGTTCAGGGTCGCCAAAAGGGAAGAGACAGAGGAAAGACAGATAGCTGGGGGGGGGGAGGAGTTGGAGGCAGATCCTTACTTTACCAAGGCTCAGGGATGAGAAGGACTAAGCCAAGAATGGCTTGGATTAGGGTAGTCCTTAGCTAACAATTGGCGGAATTAGCTTAACAAAAGCAACAGAAATCATCAGAATTGCTGATGACTGTCATGCTTTATGACTGCATCACTTAGTGATGGGAATTTTGTCCCAACTGTAGTCCTAAATCGAGCATTAAAAAGATGGATACAATTGTTTTTGATTCCTACTGTTTCTAATTCTATCATAAATATGAATAAAACAATAAGCATTCACAATAGAAACAGAACTGCACTATTGGAGGACACTGCAAAACTAGCGTTACTTCTTTACCATACACTACCGAATCAACTTTTTGGATTGTTTGGTTAGGATTCATAAACTAAAGTTTATAAATTCAAAGGGAATCTGCATACCCGTAAGTCTTTGACTTCTTCCTGTAATTTCAGTTTTTCATAAAATGAGGTGAAAAAATCACTCCTGTCAACATGCCTCGGCGCCACACATAATGCATCAATGTCTGCACCTAAAGCAAGCAATCATAAACTGTTAAATATCACATAAGCTGCCAAAATGTCAAGGCTATAACATCTACTTTCAATAGCAATATTCTCTAGTGTAATATATTCAAATACATTGGGCAATATTCACCATGTTTTTCTTGTTAATTTGAATGTATACTTTCAAGTCTTCCATTTACAATCGTCCCAAATAATCTAATTGTCAGTTACATTTCTAATTCCCCCAAACTTAAGATAGAGTAATCAATTCAAAACATATTTAAAATTCTCTATAATTTTGCACTTCATTTCTTCTAGTGAAAAATGGTTATTTTTAATTCAACATTTAAGCAAATGTTTCATAATATTCATACCACATGGCCCAAACAGAAAGCTACATTCCCACTGCTTGGTACTATGTTTATTTAACTAAAATAAGAGATATATTTTTCATTCTCCGAATACACAGTATTTTAAACAGAGTAGGTTTTTAAATTAATGAAGTTTATATTTTGTATATAGATTTAATGCTAAGTGCTATTCACTTATATAGAATTAACTAGGCAGAACTAACAGTTAGGGCTAGTTAAAATTGGAAGTATCAAAAGCTGCTTCAGAGCTTCCTGAAGCTCTGGATTGATCACAGGCTGCTGCACTGACATCAAAGGAAGAAGGGCTCAACTTTTGCGGATCTTTTTGTAGATTTTAAAAATGGGAATAGGAGATCTCTTTGATTAAGAGAAATCCTTGAGAAATCTCCAAAACATGAAAAATCCCCCAAAATCATGCTACTAATTTTCAGACTCCAAACAGCCAAGTTTTGGTAATATACAAATAGAGACTACAACGTATATAAGTGTCACCAAGACATGGAAGAATTCCCAAGCTGATTTTTGAAGAACACATTATCTTTACAATAGGTCAACAGTCTTCATTGTTCTGATGGCAAAAATACCGAAGACTAAAAATTACTGCATACTTCATTGTAAGACATAATTACAGAGATTTGAGTTGACCAGAAAAGTTTTAGTTTATTTAATTGAAATAGGAATTATTAACATTATAGGGCTAACATTACACAGTGGCCCCATGAAAACTTTTCTGGCCCATCATTCTCTGTCTGTCCATCCATCCATCCATCCCACACATAACAAATTACCTTTTGTGTGCACACCTAATCGATATGAGCCAAATGTAAAAATTTTCCCTCCAACGTTTTCTATTACAGATTGTGGAAGATTCTGAAGAAAGAAAAAATACGATGAGTTTTTTTCAATTTTGTAAACCATGCAGCCAATACAATATTGAAGGATAGAGAAAAGAAGCTAGCTATCATGTAGACAACACACTAGCTATCATGTATTCTGAGCTCCAATCAGTAGCTTATTGCTCAGACATATAGAATAAATTCACCTATATATAAAATCCCACCAATTATAATCTCAACAGAACTATACTGAAATACTGAGCATACTTCAATATGAACAGTATATATACATTAATGTATCTAATTAGAAATTATAAAGTTTTTTCCTTATATACTGAAAATTCACTTGTTGAAATAGTGCACTATAGGATCACAAGAAAGAGAAATATTAACAAATTGAGAATTGCAAATAAAATCATTACAACATTCAATCACCCTTGATTACTTTCATTTTAGGGAATCCATACGCTCTGTCTACTGGAGATAATAAGACTTGTATAGAGCTAAAAAAAGTTTTTTAAGTAATCTGCAGGGACAAATGTCTGAAAGTCTACTTTTTCCCCCTTGAAACTCTTTACTATTCCCTGCTTTATTCATATTAATACTATGAATATGTAATATTCCTCTCAATATATCTTTTATCCATCTGATGGACTTATGACTTACAAGTTTACACCATAATATATGTGATGATCTTTTTAAGCTCTGTCATTTTTAAATGAATAAAAATATTCATACCTTAATTTCACTGATTTCTCGTATCCATTCCTTTACTAAGTTATTTAGTTTCCCCAAAATTAGAATTCTGTTGATGAAACATACACATAATTATTACATCTACATAATTTGCTAATGTTACTATCATCATCATCATTACAATTAATCTGTTATTGATGTTTTTTCTGCTAGGTTGTTAGCTATTTTAGGACTTCCACATGTAAAAAAAATGTCTCTAAGTACTAAATATCATTACATTTGAAAGGTAATACACAAACTACTCCCATTTTGCTAACAATTTAGCATATATTTTATGTTAATTTTGTGCTGAAAACTCTGCAATAGATATAATTCCCATTGTACTCCTATGTGTGACCAGCATGACCAGAAAATGTCTATGTGATAGAAATAGCTATACTGCAAGAATAAAAATCAAACAATGAATGTAAATTCTGCTGTTCAGAAATTTAAATTTTCAACAACTGGTGCCTGAGACAATTGGAAGAACATTTTTGGTCTATGTTGCTTCAGTTATGAATTTTCATTTTTCCTGAGAAAATTTCCACAAGAAAACTAAAGAGTTTTATTCACCTGCGTTGCAGTTCTTCCTCCTCTTCAAAGACACCAAAGGGTTTTAGGGTTTCAATTAGCTTCTGGGTAAGTATACAGTCATTCTCTTTAGGGGAAGCTAAACTGATTGGTGAGGTAATGCCATAATGTTTCTGCGGCTGTTGTGTTTGTTGTGATCCCTGGGTTGTAACTGGACTGCAAGCAAGCAAAACAAAATTAAAACAACATTTTAACAAGAAGTAATTACTATACTCAACAGAAACAAATAAACTGAAGAAAGCTAGAAATTTGTAAACAGTTAATGACAAAATAAACATACTATTACAGATGAAACCACCCCTATATTAAGTAACTTATTTCACCTAGTATATCCTTTATGTTCATCATCAACCCTTGCTTGTTCTTAAGAAGGATTCTTAACATAAGATAAAACTAAAATAAACCAACAAACCACACTCAATATGTAGTCCTTAATGGAAGTATGTCTACATGGAGGCAAGCATGTAATGGGGTATCTCAAGGTTTAATCTTAGCCCCAAAATTTTTCAACATCTTCATAAACAATTTAGATGAAGGGATAAAAGGGGATCTCATCAAATTTGCAGACAATAAACTGGTGGGAATAGCCAATGCTTTAGATTAGAAGACAGATTCAAGATCCAGAAGGACCTTGACAGACTTGAACACTATCCAACAAAATGCAATTCAGTAGTAAGAAAAGTAAAGTTTTACACTTAGGCAAGAAAAGTCAAATGCACAAGTATAGAATAGGTGGTACCTGGCTCAATGGCAATAGCTGTGAGAGGGATCTAGAAGTCCTAGGGGACAACCACTTAAATATGAGCCAACAGTGTGCTTCAGCTGCCAAAAAGCCATCACAGTCCTAGACTGCATCATCAGAGTGATAGAAGCAAGGTCACCTGAAGTGTTAGTACCACTTTATAATGCTTTGCTAAGAGCACACTCAGAATACTGCATCCAGTTTTGGTCACCAAGATACAAAAAAGATGTTGAGACTTTAGAAAAAATGCAACAAAGATGATTAGAGACTAGAACAGTGGTGGCGAACCTATGGCACGGGTGCCAGAGGCGGCACTCAGAGCCCTCTCTGTGGGCACGCGCGCCGTCGCCCCAGTCCTAGGCCTTCAGCTGGGTTTTATAAAACCTTTTCGCTTTAGGCCTCCACCGCCATATGCAAAAGAAAAAGAAAAAGGTCCAATCAGTCAATTTCAACTTCTCGCGGGAAAAAAAAAGATCTTGCAAAGTTGGAATTGATTGATTGAACTTTTTAGTCCCACCTAGTCTGCTGTTACCACCGCAGCCATGCTCACCCAATTGGCCACGCCCACCCAATGGGCCACACCCAGCCGGCACTCGACGATGCATAAGTGGGTTTTGGGTTGCAGTTTGGGCACTTATATTTTCCTTTCATTCTAATGTTTCCTTCGAAATTTTATGAGAAGCCCGAAACTAATTATTAGGCCACAGTTCTTTTTTCCTGGTTCTCAATATAGATGGTGGAATTTGCACAATAGTTGATCAGCATTTTTAAATAATGTGATATAATACAGTATTTCCAAACAGATTTTCTTTTTCAAATTTTGGAATTCTCTGAGTGTTGTATTGCAGTTCTTAACTTAGCAATTGCATACAGCCATGTATTAGGACGAGAGACAACAAAACAATAAAAACAAAATTCATGAAATATTACAGAAATTTTCTAGAAAAATAGTACAATACACAAGAGTCAGTTTAGTGGTTAAGGTACCAGGATAGGAAGTAGGAGACCATGAGTTCTAGTCCTGCCTTAGGTATGAAGCCAGCTGGGTGACATCAGTGAGTCATTCACTTTCAGTCATGGGAAGGAGACAATGGCACACCACTTCCAAAAATCTTGACAACGAAATGGAAAGGATTAGTTCAAGCGGTTGCCAAGACTCAACACTGACTGGATGGCACATATACAAAAAAAACTCCAACCCAACCATACAAAACATAATGCATGCAAAACTGAAATTGACCAAATACAGAATGACCCATACATTCTTAATTTCCAAGGCAGTTAAAACAACAGCTAAAGGAGTAGTTTCAGTTTATATGACCTTCTGTTTCCACAGAAGATTTAAATATATTTAATTAACATGCCAAACAACACAAATCAGACACTAAGGATGAATGTTCCAAACTAAGCTTTGAGTAACTTCAAATTTTAAGCACACCACCAGGGTACATCCTCTACAAATTAAGGATAATCATAGCCAGGTTACGAAATAAGTTCTTGTAGAATAAAAGTTTATCTAATTACATTTATATTTGTGTAGGATAACACTCAAAAAAAATAGTGGGATTGGTAGTACGGTAAGTCTAACACAGGTCGACCTACGATATGGTATAAAACTGTGTTCAGGTATAGTCAATATCGGTCAAATTTTTCTAAACCGAATGGTTTCCAACCTGTGACCCATGAGATCTAACAATCCCTTGGCTGATTCTTCTTCCATAACTCCATACAGTCTCAGAAGAAATTTTTGAGGAGAAAGGCACTATCTAAAATCTAAGATTTTATCATCCATATATTGGAAATTTACCGTATTTATCGGCGTATAACACACACAGGCGTATAACACGCACCTTCATTTTAAGAGGGAAATTTCAGGAAAAAAACTTAAATTTCAAATAGAGAACTTTGAAGCAAAATAAGGGTAGCTCAGAACTTTTTTTTATTAATATTATTACCACTTCTTAACATTATATCGGCGTATAACACGCACACATCATTTGCCCCCTATTTTCAGGGGGGAAAAGTGCGTGTTATACGCCGATAAATACGGTAAGTCATTGGAATCTGTTAGAATCTCTCCTGCAGGTATATACTCATAAACCTTACGTGCTTAGTAACTGATACTTGTTAATGAAATGGTTTTGGAGGGAAAATAAAGTACAGGCATATAGTAGCTAAGAAATATTCATTAATTTTGTTTCATTTGCCAGTCAACTTATTCTTTCCAATATATGTCAAGCATAAAACACTGTCTTGTATCCTACTAAATTATTCCTGCCACAGAGATATTTAATATAGTTGAGATCTGAGTGTCATGGATAGTTTAAAATTTACATAGGTAATCCTTGCTTACTGATCACTTGTTCTGTGACTGGTTGAAATTGTGACGGCGCTGAACATATGGCCAGCCCTCAAAGTTCTAGCCTTTGCAGCACCTCTGGGATCATGTGATCATGATATGGATGCTTGGCAACTAGTTCCCATTTATGACAATTACAGCATCCTGCAATCACATGATTGCCATTTGTGACCTTGCCTGCCAACTTTCCATAAGCAGTAAATGGGAAAGCAGGCAGGGAAAGACACAAGTCACTTGAGCAAAGTTTCCTGCAGTTTCCTGTCATCCACCCGCCCAACTTGTTTGCCTGTCATCCACTCCTCAGCTTTCCAATGCTCGTATGCAACCTGCCCAAGCGCTTCCCTAAATCATACCTAGCTAGCCCTCCCAAGGCCTCTCCCAACCCCCTGTGGCATTCCCACTACTTACTGGTACTTTCCCTGCTTTCCCTGGTACTTTTAACAACCTGCACATCTTAGGTTACAACAGCAACTCGAACTGCTGGGATTGTCATTGCTAAATGACAATGTTTTGCTCTTTACAAAAACATTGGTTACCAATGGCAATCTCAGTTCCAAATGTTGTACTGTAGTAACCCAGACTACCTGTATGTTATTTTATTTGGCAGTCTCCCTCAAATCAGCTCATGCCAAAAACACTATTTTAGAATATCAAACTGGAAGTTGCTGTTGATCTAAAATAGGGGTGTCAAACTGCCGGCCCGCAGGCCGGTTTCATCATATCGGAGCCGTGCCCACCCCATTGCCGGTAATGGTGAAAAAGCTCTGATATGTCGCGTGACGTCACGAGTTTGACATGCCTGATCTAAAAGCACAAACATTAAGAAAAAGTTCAACCCGTAGTACATCTCAATCTAACATATTTCATAAGTAAGATTTCATGTTTTAAAAGAAATTCAAAATACTTGTGCATTATAAAGAATAGCTTTCTGTTAAATTTAGAATAAATTTCTAATTAAACAGCTATCCACTGGTTATGTAAATCTGAGGCAAAAATGATTTGTTTATATTTAGAAGTAATGGAGAATACATATTCAAAATCAAATAATACCTGCATTTACACTACTATTAAACTGTTGAAATAAATCAAACTAAACTTAATTAAATTGAACTTTTGACTCTACACCTATAAAAAAGAGAGGACATCCAACAGTGGATATTTTTCTCCCTCTTGATCTGTAAGCAGAACCAGACATTATCTTCTTTCTTATAGGTCTGATGGTTAATTAATTAAGAGCATATTATTGTAGATAATATAATAAGAAATTTGGTAGATGCTTCATGGATTATAGAAACACCTTTGATTGCTTGACTGCATCAATCACATCAAGTGCTCAGAAAAATTGGTATCTCTGAACATTTCATTGTCCTCAGGAGAAACTTACATAGAGCTCAGGACACTACACTATGGACAGAATATGGCGAAAAACACTGGCTCCAGCTTTGCAAAGAAGGGCGACAAGATTGCATATTCTCCCTTTATTTATTCAACATTTATGCTGAATATATATTGAGGTAAGCTGAATTGGAAGAAAATGATTTTAAAACTGGAGGAAGAAGCATCAATAAACTGTTCTAAGCTGATGACACTATCCTGATAGCCAAAAATGCAAAGGATCTGAAAACTTTAGTATAAAAATCAAAGAGCACAGTAAAAAAATGAGACTAAAATTAAATATAAAGAAAAGCAAATGATAACAAGTATAACAACCAGGCTTAGAATTGACAATGAAGATACTGAAGTGGTGACAACTTTTGCCCTTTAGGATCAACCATTAACAGTAAATGAACAGGCAGTCAAGAATATGCCACAGACTAGCACTTGGTACAGTAGCTATGAAGACCTTGGAAAAAAATATTCAAATGCTGTGTCTATACATACAAAAATCAGAATCATACAAGTCATTGCATTCCCTATGACTCTATAGAAGTGAAAGTTGGACTTTAAAGAAGCAGAAAAGGAACAACACTGATGTCTTTGAATTTTGGTTTTGGAGAAGAGTCTGGAGCAAACTGAAAACAGTCAAAAAAACAAACTGATAGCTCACTGAACAAA